TGAGAATCAATGCGACAATGATGGCGAGAACTATGAGTTTTATCTTCATGTTTTGAAGCCACATCTTTCTTCTCATCTGCGTCCCCGTTGTTCTGAAATCTTGTGCCTGCATCAGTTCAGAGTTTTAATCAAAACACGAGACAAGTCAATATGGTGAACCAGCAGTGTGTAGATATTTATAAGGTATGCAGAGAGATAACATGAGAGTCTAACCTGTGAGCGAAGGTTCTCGGTTTTGTCCACCAGAAGCTCAATTTTCTCACCACGGTCAAGAACCTACAACGAAATTTAAGTTCCATAAATACTCGTTTATCATCAAAAACATGTGTTCCATCAACAACAACAACAACAAAAAAAAAAAAGAGTTCAGAATCCAAACCTTCTCGATGTTCTCCATCATAACACCCTTAACTTCAGAGACTTGAGCCTTCACCTTAGCAAGCTTGCTAATCTCATCAGGATGATCCATACAATACTGCATGTGCTCCTTCAGCTTAGACCTTCAAAAGTAACCAAACAAAAGTCAATCCAAAGAGTAATGAATAAAAAGAATCAACCACATCAGCAAAAAAAAAAAAAAAAACATACCCAAACTCTTTATTCAAGCTGTTAGCTTGAGCATTCGCAGCCTTTCCACCACCATATCTCTTACCAAAATCCTCCTTCACTCTCTCCAAAAACGCCATCGGAATCTGCCTCCCAGCAGATTCACCCGCAACAACACAATACGCTACACAAACAAACAAACAATAACCAAAATCAATCTCACATAACATGAAACTAAATACAGTTACAACTCAGATTAAAATCAGATCTAAACCCTAAAAAAGCGAGGCAAGCACAGAGTGTGTGTGTAATGTAAAGTGGTGAGAATAGATTGAAAAACGATAATGAACTCACTGAATCCATCTTCGACGAGGTAGTTGAAGGTGTGGCCGTCGCAGTTGTAAGTGAACTTGTTGTTGGAAGACGGGAGCTTCTGGAGACACTGTGCAGCGATGGAGGTGAAGTTACCTTTGAAATCAGTGAACTCCACGAGGATCACCGTGCCTCGAGCCACGAAGCTGTAGATCAGCGATTGTTGCGCCATTCTTTTTCAAACCCTAAATCCTCGCTTCGATTCGACGGATTTAATGGTGCTCTCTGCCAGAAAGTCGAAATATAAACAACAATAAAAAAAAAAAGGACTAAAGTGAGAAAAAAAAAAACTAGAATAAAAGTCAAATGTCGAGATATTTGAATTCGTTTGGGCTACCCGGATCCGGCCAAGAAACTCGTGGACCTTTCGAATGGCAAAAAGTCGTAATAAATTTCTTTTACGACAAGTTTTAGGTCTCAGTGTCGAAGAGTAACACAAAGTCTGTCTATCTGTCTTTTTTCTCAAATCCAACATTGATCGTGTCTTATGTTCAGTAACAAATGTTGGCCACAAAAAGAAAAAAAAATGGATATAAGTTAAAATATGAGTGATTTTATAAGACAATAGATACACTCATTCCTAAACGATTTAGGATACTTAACAATAAAGCCTGCTTTAGACAGAACCCATGGCGCCAAAAGATCAAACTATTGTTGATGATAATTGATTCCATTCATATCTAATGCAGGATGTTTGACTACAAAAATTATAGTTTGTCTACATTGTTTATTAATGCAAAAACTTTATTTGTTTACTCCTCAACGTTCTATCAACAATCAAAACTAAAATTAAAGAACTAAAACTTTTGTAGTTTGATCCAAAGTTAGGTTGCGGTTGGTTACTTGGAATGCAATTAAAGGTCATGTTGTTGTACCGTTGTCTTTAAGTAACATACAATTATTTGCTTAAGTTCTAACTTACATATAAAATTTCTCAAGGTATAGCACTTAAAAATTAATAACGATGTAATCCACATCTAAATTAGATGATGCAAAGTCATCACCAGCAACTAGCACACTGGTTAGCAATTAATACTCCCAAAACTCATTAAACCTTGTGTGAGAATCAAATTTCTCAAAACTGAGTATCTCCTTAACTAAATAGATAGCCTATAGATACACAAACTATACTAATGAATTGTACTACTATACAGTGGTTTTGTTAACAAGAAACATGCACAATACAAATATTTGATGTCTATTTTTATATAGTAAGTATTAATGTTCTTCCTATAGTAAGATATTTAATTATTAATTTTTATGTATATTCATAGTATATCTTTATTGTATTTATCTAGTTGTGGAGTTTTCCAAAGTATGGTATTTTTGAAACTAAAAATTGTTAAGTTATCACAGAAGCAAAAAGTTGGAAGTTATCGCTTATGTTTATTATCTTTGAGGGATTTGAAGTGCATGTGTATAATCAGAAATAAGATATATGACTTCTTTATAAATTAGATGTTGAGCCCCATATGACCTAAACTCAGTCCAATTTACAGTTTTTTTTCTTCTTCATTCATGCATCTGACTTTTCACAATAAATATAAAATCAAAAAATTCAAAATTCATATCATTACCAAATATCAAGATAGATATATTTGGATCCTTCAGAGGATTCAGTTCTTTCTACAATCTGTACACACATGAAGAATACAATATAATTTGTGTCAATATCACTCTTCTATGTTACTCTACGCTCACAAATTCACAATCATTATGATATCTTTTAACAGCACTAAAAAGTATGCGTAATGAATAAGAAGGCAATCAATGAATGATGGATGTCATGTTCAGAAGCAAATTCAAACATGTATGAGTGTTTGATGAAGCAAATTTATTCTCTGCATTATGCTGCTTAAGGTGTTTGGTCTGTATGATTGTTGATTGTAGCATTTATGGTGGTCGTAGTTGTATTCAATAGATGATATTCATCATGTTTGAGGTAAGATTTTTTTTATGGTAATTTGAGTTCAGGGTTAGAAGGTTTTTGTTTGTAGTCAATATAATTGTAGTCTAAAATGACTTCTCTCCAAAGAGATCTTATCCAAGGTTTGCAGAGATTACTAAACTAAGAATTTATTTGTTTTTATGTACTAGGCTTGTACAATATGCTTCGTTTCTTATCTTCACTTTTTATTTACATTTTTATCAATAATGATTTTCTTTTCCTTGATTCATTTTTATTTGTTGTTTAGTCTTATAGGATTACATTTTTTTTCAAATCCTAAATCCTCGATTCGATTCGATTTGATTCGACCTGATCAGAGGACTTAACGGTGCTGTCGCGAGAAAGTAGAGATCTAATAAGAGTAAACAACAATAAAAGAAGAATTAGAAGTGAGAAAAGAAGAAGAAAAACTAGAATAGAAGTTAAGGGTAAAATAGTCATTCACTTTAACAATAAGGAGCAAATGTCGAGATATTTGATTGTGCATTGCTCTGAAAACGCATGATATATCCAGGTTTATATTCATTCGTGTACATTTCTACAACTTCATTTTATATTTTCTTGAGTAATTTTTGTTGTTATTTCAGAACGCTATGGGAAATATTGAAAAAACGGTTATGGACTTTTTCACTCTTAAGTACCCAAGCCTATTGAAGGAATTGCACAAAGTACTATCAAGGCACTTTTCCACAAATCTCTCTTTTAAATCTGAGTTTCTTGAAGGTGAGTTTTGAGGATGATCAAGAAACGAAGTGAAAGCAAGAAGACATAATGTATAAACTATTTATCACATTATTTAGCAAAAAAATTATTTATCACGGTTTCATTTATTACATTTTCAAATAATTTGTCCTATGAAACAGTTAAGAAAATTATTTAGAAACTGATCACAAATGTGATTTTGCACTATATTTTACGATCTTTATTCATGTTTGAAAACTATCCTCCGTTGATAAATTTATCTTTACAAATTAAAAAAAAAACTGATCTGTTAGTTTTCTAACTTATTTTAAGAATTATTCTACTTCTAAATATAGAATTATTTGTTAAAGGTATTCAAAGATCATGAACATAGATTAATCCTAAACTTTTTATTGAATTGAATCAATGAATTATAATCATTTCTGGCTTAGTAAAATAGTATAAGCAACAGAAAAGAGTATAACAAAAAAATAGAAAACTAACCTGAAATATATCAAAAATTTATTTGTTGAGTATGAAAATCTTGCAGTCTGCCATTTGTCCAAAAAGAAATACAAATTATCTATTTTTTTTCAAATTCACTCATTTGTTATAATTGTGTTTTTTAATATTAATTATTTGGGTCTAAGATAATTTGAATTTAATACAAATATGTAACTAAAATTAAAGATTAAAATGTTTTATATACCTAAAATCAATAAATTCAATGTTTAACAAATTTAAAAAAAATATTCATATTATTTATATAATTAAAAACATCTTTTGTTTTTAATATTTTGTAATTATTTGAGTGAGATCATATTTGTGTGGGATCAATCTTTATTTTTTTAATGATGTCAAAAAAAATATATTAAAAAAAATAGTGAGGTCAACTAACCCCACTAGTCTTTCAATGCCTCCGCCTCTGTCTGTCTATTTGTCTTTTTTCTGAAGTCCACCATTGATTTGTGTCTTATGTTCAGTCACAAACGTTGCCCACAGGAAAAAAATGGATATAAGCTAACATATGAATGATTTTATAAGACAATAGATATACTCATTCCTAAACAATGTAGGATACTTAACAATAAAGCCTGCTTTAGACAGAAACGCCCATGGCGCAAAAAAATCAAACTATTGTTGATGATGATGATACCACTTGACAAGAATCTCTATCTGGCTTATATATTTAATGCTACATATGTCAATAGTTTGGGCGCCATATGTTCGTATAAAGTTTTGATTGATTCCATTCATATCTAATGATGTTTGACTACAAAGATTGTAGTTTGTCTACATTGTTTATTAATGCACAAATTCTTTTTTTTTTTTGTCTACTCCTCAATGTTCTATCAACAATCAAACTCAAATCAAAGAACTAAACCTTTTGTAGTTTGATCCAAAGTTAGGTTGCGGTTGGTTACTTAGAATACAATTAAAGGTCATGTTGTTGTATCATTGTCATTGAACACTCTTTAAGTAACATACAATTATTTGCTTAAGTTCTAATTTACATATAAATTTTCTCATAGTATAGCACTTAAACATCGATAACGATGTAATCCACATCTAAACTAGATGATGCAAAGCCAACACAAGGTATAGCACTTAAACATCGACTCCCAGTGTCTTGTTAGACCCACATTGCTACTAAGCTGATCTAAAGCCATTATTTGTTTATGTTTGTTATATAGATTAGGCCTTAATGCTTTTGTAGTGTACAAGTCTTCTTATGTTCAGTTTATAGCCCCATCATTCTTCTCAGTCATAACTACATAGTGTTTCTAGTTGGAGTGATAACAAGTGAAGGACATCAAAACAGTTTACAACAAATAAACTATATTCACTACATTCTTCTACACAGTCCCTATTCAGTATCCAAAGCACAAAGAATCTTATGCATCATCAACAAGCTAGTTGATCTCTCAGTGGTAAGATCTCTTCAAAAATTGGAAGTCTTCTTGTCCTAAAAGTAGGCCTCCTCCATTCCTTCACAAACTCATCAATCCCTTCCACAACAGCTATCTCATCCATACCAACTTTACATTCCACAGACACAGAAGCTAATACAGCTTCTTCTTCTTCCCCTCTCTCTAGCTCACTCAACAGCTCTTGAACTCGAAGCTTCAACCTCAAATCATCATCAAACCCTTTTTTCTTCTCTAATACATCACGAAAGAGAATTGATCTAGCCTCATTGAGCTTCCCTTGCTTAATGAGACATGAACATAAGTTACAAGCCTTGTTTGCATCTGGCTCAATCACTTGAGCCTTACGGTACACGGTTTCAGCCGATGTATAGTCCTTTAACTGCATATAAGCCCATCCCAAGTTTCCCTGTAACACACGTTTCAGCTCATTCATCAGAACCCTCTAACCAAAACTAAAAGAGTCAAGTGAGATTATTATCATCATACCAAGATCCTAGATGTTTCCTTCTCGACGGTGACCTGAAACTTCTTCCCATGAGATCTTGCTGTCTTTGTCGGTTTCCCGTTGAATGCTTCTCCTTGATATATCATCCAAAGCTTTTGCTTCAACAGCTCAACTTGCTCTTCTATCCTCCCACATTTCTGCTCATTATTAGTAAACCCAATTTTAATGTTTAACAAAAATAACAAGACAAGAGAATGTTGTTAGGTCTGCAAATTTATTATATATACCTTGTAGAGATCGATGAGGACATTGTCGAGTGATTCTTGAGCTTGTTTAGAACAAAGATATCTAAAGGAATGAATAGCAACAATGGCTTCATCTGCTCTGTTCTGTTGTTTCATAAGCAAAGCCATGTCTTTAAAAGCACTATCCACTCTGTCTCTCGCTTTAATAGCTCTCCAGAACAACTCTATAGCTGCTTCTGCATCCTTCTCCACAAGCTGTCAAAACAATTCAAAATTTCAGAATTAACCAATCAAATGAATATTAGATTATCGTTCACAAATAGTATATGTTATTACCTGAACATGTTTGGCTCGGACATAAGGACTGTCACCGTGAGGCAGCTTATAAACAACGTTGTAGTTCTGTCTCTCTCCTCCTCTTCTCAAACTCATCATCATAAAACACTCTTTCTCCTAAAACTTGCGTGTGTGCGAAAATAATTATAATGTGGAAGAAAAAGAAGGAACCAAGACGTGAACTCGTCTGGGTTCATTAGCGTCAACTTGGATCTGTAATAACGTGGACTGGTCGTTTTTTCTAAACCTATGGGACGTCGCCACGTAACATATCGTCCGCATTATTCTCACACGACTTATCCAGTTTTGATTTTTATAGTTGGGTCGTATTGTTTTGAATATATCCAACTTTTTATCCATAAATAAGTTACACCTAACCATATCTCATTGATATCTTTAGATTTTCTTAAAAAATTATTTCCCCACTTTTCTAGAAATCAGCGGCTTTAGTAGAGGTTGACGGATCTTTAAAATTGAAAAGGACACTGTATTCAAATAACGTGTTCTGTAATAACACCACTCCAATGGAGATAGACAGAGAAGAAGAAAAAACATTAAAAGAGAAGTGTGAAGAAACTATGTTGAATCTCCCATCTAACTTAATCTCATACCAACAACTTCATAGCTTATTTAAGATGATGATACATAGTTAACAATCATCTCCAACGATTAAAACAAAAATACAAAAGAAAGAATCATAAGCCAATATAAAGTCACAACAACAACATTAACCCCCACATCATTCCTCTATTTTCCCCCAACTATATTATAATCTGCTAGATTTTCCTATTTCAGTATTTTTTTTTCCCAATGTTTTCAGAGAGACAAGAAGAGAGATCCTTCTTACTTGTGGTTTCTTCAGCTGCTCTGAGATGACTTGCCCTTCTTAGCTTTATTCTTCTCTTGAACCTTCTTTTTCTTCTCTTCAGATGTGATCCAATTATATCCCCTTGGAATTGCAAACGGGTCTTGATCGTTTTCCGCTTTACCATTATTAAACCCTCCTGAGCTTGTTGATGGACGTTGGCTCGGTGTTTTCATCCACTGATACCATGAGGAGGATGAGCTTGATGAGGTCTGTGGTTCCTCTCTAGGACTGTTCTTAACAGGAGAAGTAGGGCTTGATGGTGGCGTTACAAACTCATCTTCAATAGCTTCTAGCTCTTCAAACTTTGTGAATGTAACTAGTACTCTAATCGTAGGGATCACCGGGATAGCAACCTGTAATAACAAAATCTAACTGAAATGAAGTAAAGAACTGACTAATATGATGATGGTGAGCATTACAGGTTTAAACAGACCTTGACTGGGAATGTTCCAGATGGTAGTTTAGTGGTCATAAGCTCTCTTAAACGCCGAACTGCTTTGACTTTGTTTGCAAGGATATCAAGCAATGGAAGAAGCTCTTTAGTCTGTAATGGGAACCTCTCAGAGAGCCAAAGAATTGGTCTAAGCCCTTTCTTGTACTCGTTCTCTTTGCTTCCTTCCTTTCTCTTGCTACCTTCTGATGTTGAAGCTTTTGATGAATGGCTTTCATCTCTCACAACAGTCTCAACTGTTGAATGTCTCCCAGGTTTTATCTGCCTTCCTCCACCAGATGAACAATCATCTTCCCCCCCAAGAAGATCACTCACTTTCTCATCAACACAAAGAGAACTTCTCGGAGGAACGTTACTTCTTTTATCTCCTTCCTCTCGTTTCCTCCACCCACTAAACCAACTTTTCTTCTCCTGTTTGCTATAACCATTTCCATCAGTTACTGGCACCTCCCTCTCCTCAAAAGAACAACTATTATTAGAAGCTTCTTCCGGCGAGTCCACTTTAAGTGCTAACTCAAGCTGCCTCTTCTCATCTTCAGTCAAAACATCTCCAAGATCCTCGCTCTCACTTTCGTTTTCTTGATTATTATTACTCTTCGAGAAAAGCTCCTCATCAGTCATTGCACCGGGAACTCTCCTAGACTTTATACTAACAACCACATTATGCATATCATACACTTTAGCCTTCCACTTCCCAACCATCTCACTCTTCTCCTGACGCCTCCACGTTAACTGCGGGAATAGAACCGCTTGAGTAACATCAATGCCTGGTCTGAATATGGACGTTTTAGACATAGCAGCCACTTCTTGACGAACTTCTTCCTCTGTCGCAGGAGCACCAGCACCGTCCAAAGCATTCATAATCTCCTTATCCTTATGTGATATCATAAGGAGAGAGCCTGAAGGAACTTTACCATCTTCAGACCCATCTCCAAGAAAGAGTATAGTCTGATCAGATCTTTGGATCCTGAAACCATCAAATCCAGCTAACGTCATATCAGCTCTAAGATTAGCACCTCTCTTCCAAATCTTATAAGTATCAGAAGGCGCCACTCTAGATATAAAAGGTATCACCGAGCTCTCGAAATGGAAAGTGATCTCCATATAGAAATCTCTCATCCTATGCATAGTAGCCACAAGCCTAGGCAACCTCCTGCACCATTTAGCCCAAGCTAGAGGCTGATAATGCCTCACAATAATCATAGCGATCCTCTCTTCTCTACTGCAAATAGCTTCTTGTAACGCGCTCCACCCTTGCTCGTTCTGCAAACTCCAGTCAGCTCCTGCAGCCATAAGCATCTCCGCTGAGGTTTCATCTCCGAGCTTTACAGCTAAGTGAAGTGCCGTGTCTCGGTTAACGACGTCGCGTCTGTCTATGATGGATGCAATGGAGTCAGCTTTTGTCTCTTCAGCTACAGAAGCTGCTTCGTTTTTGACCTCGGATGGGTCACGCATCTTGGGAAGAGCGGAGAGTAGTTTCTTGAGAGTGGTGTAGTCTCTTGTGACGACAGCGTGATGTACAGGACTATGACCATACTTGGTAATATCAATGACGCTTGTCATATCTCAGACAAAAGCTTCAAAAAGACACAATGTTTCACAAAGACAAACCTAACTTATGTCCCCATCACAAAATGCCTAAAGTAGAAACCTTTTTTAACAATTCAAGCACTCAACTAAAGCCTATGAAGTTGTTCTTCAAGCCCAGAAAAAAAAAATACCAAAAAAGGAAAGTTTTTTTTTTTTACTATACCCAGATCAAGATGATTGGAAGCTAAATCAGATACAGAGAAGTAAAGGTGCGTTTATTCTTGATTTTCCCGGGAAGGGAAAACAAAAGGAGGTTCTTGAGATTCGTTGCTTCAGGGGAATCAGATCCGACCCGGATCGGGAAAACCCAACCCGAGAAGATAGTTAGAGATCTAAAGGCAAAAGAGAGAAGATGAGATGTGAAGTTGGGGAAGAAAGGAATAAAAGTAGAGAGGCAGAGGAGAGGTGGACACGGTCCCTTTGGCTGTCTCCAGAGGGAAGATTCAAAGTCCGGTCGGGAAAAGTTTTACATGGAATCTGGAAAAAGAGTTATTAGAATGATAAAACCGTTAAAAGCTCCTCAAAAGATATTAGGACAAAAATAGTAATAATTTAATAACTCCAGTACATAAAGTAATATAGAATTAGAAAGAATATATAATAAAAATTTAATAAAGATAAAATTAGCATAAATTATACTAATAACTAGAAATTTTTAAAACAAATTACTAAAATCGAAATGAAACAATTGTAAATAATATAAGTTAGGTGATTATTATTTTATACAGTACTATAAATACATAAAAATAGTAATATTTTGATGCAGCAAAAGCCAAACTGAACAAAAAGAAAAAAGGGGATATTTCCTCGAATAATTCATTGAGAAACCGCCAAAGTAATTGGTTTGAGGCAATTGGTGACTTGATTATCCCAATAAATGGTTATTTGTACTTGTGTTTTTTCTTACTTTTGCCATTAACCAAATCCCCAAAGCAGTACATTGTCATATAGTACCTTGTCAAAGTTGAGTGATGAATATCTAGACTGCGTGTAAATGATGTAATTCTTACTGAAAAATATTGCCACCTATTGACCAAAAATAAAGTCAGTCATGTTTTTTTTTTTCTTTTGGCATGAAGTCAGTCATGTATAAGAAAGGCCCAAAAGAAGGGAAGACATACATAAAGAGGCCTAACAACACGAGAACAAGAGGTCAAACTTTTTCTCTGATCTAACAATGATCTAACAACTGAAAAAGTTTATGAGCAAATAAGATTCCTCATAAACATTAAACTTTTTCGAATGCTAATGGTTCTCACTTTTTATTTTGCCAGCTTCGTGTTTAACATTAAAATTTTATCTTTCAGTAAGAAACAACACTATAACAGAAAAAAAAAACGATTCAAAGACCGAAACAAATGGGCCATGTAAAAACAAACAGAGCTTTTGTATATGTAACTAAATGTTGGGAAAAAAACAGAAAGACTTTAGAGTAACATTTTGGAACGGAGCTTATTAGCTACATACAAGAGATGGCTGATGTTGGTAGTTGGATAGTGTTGAAGCAATTTCATATTCGATGTGAAATCTCCAGCGATCAACCTCCTCCTCACCAGTACCAGCATCGCACAACATATCCCCAGTAAGCTTTCCTGCAACCATACAAGATAACTTAGTTCTATCATTCAAGCCAACATTAGTGGGGAAAAATAATGAAACAGATAACGACTGGGTCTTGTGCATCTATTAATTTGGAAAATCTTACCAGAGGACCTTCAGGGTCGCTTAAGAGTGCATCCCATATGTGAAGACAGTCGAAGAAACTAAACTCTTGTGTAAGGAGGAGAGTGATCCACCTAAATGCATAAAACTGTGGGTTTACCTGTAATCCATGGATACTATACAATGTCAGCCATCTCAGAAGGTATAATCCATCTCTATTATATCGTAGATCAGAGAACAATAATACTAGTAAGCTTGTTCACATGGTTAGCTATAGGGATATTTAACGACCGCACAAAGTAGATTATTAGAACTTTGGTAATAGAATGACAAATATAGTTGTCACAACAGAGACAATAGAGATAGAGGAAATAATGTCTTACTTTCGTGGTGATCTCTAGATGACGCCAAAGTTCCTCATCATGCTTCCTAACAAGTTGCGAAAGCCTTGTTATTGCGGACCGGATTCCAACCACACTATTGTCAAGTTGTTGACAATAGAAGTCACGAAATCCACTTAACAGTTCAACAAAGCAGAAGAATGCATCAGCTTCAGCATGAGACTGCATGATTTGAATAGATAGAAACAGCTCATGAGATGAGAGCAAACACGCGGTCGAATAAGAATAGATCATACATAAACAAATTTTCTAAGATTGAACTGATATATTGAAATTGAGTCCCCTATCCTGTCAAAGTAGTTTTTCAAAGGTAGCAAAAAAAAAAGGAAGAAAAAAAGAGAGAACTTACTGAACTATCTTCATCAGGGTCGTTACGGAATACATAGAAGATGGGTGCCAAAATTTCGTTCATCCCTTGAACATATCTGATTCCTTGATTTAACTTGGCAAACACAAGCAATATATTCTTCATAGATTCCTATACATGTAAACAGAAACGTCACTGAGCTTGATGAATCAACAATATATATGAGAATTTGCTAGCAAGAACACAAAAAGGTTACCTGATTAGAGCGCGCAAAAGATGATTCAGCAGAGAAAAACGGTATATCTGGATGTGTACGCTTGACATCTTTGTCTATTTGTTCTATGGTCTCAATATCCTGTACTAACAAAAGAGTTAATGCTAAAACTTGTGGACAAAATTGAATACCATAGCCTTCAATCCTGTCCTTAAGTAATGTGCAAAAGCCTTAAAACAAGGAAATGATGCAAGACATAGTACCTGGAAATAAGTATTCCAGACGCTGGCCTTCCCTTGACTTAAAGGATGGTCCTCGTCAGTAATCCTGGATCGGGAAAGCATGCATCGACTTCCACTCTTCAACTCGTAATTATCAAACCCCTTTGACCTCACCAATCTCCATGTGATTTCTGACTAACTACCACATAATCAATTTAGAGGTACAACAAACACATTTCAAGAAAACAATATCTGTGTAAACAAAGAAGTTCTCTATATGATAGAAACACCTAACAAACTCCTAGACAAGATCACTTACAGGACTCGTAAGAAGCTCATCCTTATAGTGTTTGTATTGAGATCTCTTTTGTTTCAATTCAGATGACCAGAGTGATCGTTCAGGCGGCAAGTAGCCAAGCAAAAGCTGTAATCAAACATTTCCTAAGTACGGTTTTACATGCAAATCAGATTATATCCTAATATAGAGATAATAGACTACCTTCCAGACGGTAGAGCGGATGCCAGGAGAATCAGGCAAACTTTGTGAAGCAAGACTCCTCAATTCCTTCATATTAATCACCTTCTTCGATAACTAAATAAAAAAAAATCAATTAACACTTTAACAATCTTTAATCAACGATTTTGTAATTGATAAGAAGTTGCATTGACCTCAGCAGAGAGATGAGCCTGGCGGGAAAAGTCCTCGGCCGAGGAAGCAGGTACACTAGAGTTTCCGTATCCTCCACTACCCCCAGAGATACTGTTACCGTTGTTTCTCCGTCTAGGAGACGGCGATGGAACAGATGAAGCGGAATTGGAAGGAGGAGGAGCAGAATTGAGCCTGGAGGAAGCAACGGAGATCGTATCTGACTCTTCCTTCATTGTAGACATTTTAGTGGAAGGGGAATGGCGGAGGAGAGAATCGTCGTCGAAAGAAGACGACGGAGGAGGTGGAGTGGACCACATGGTGCTGTTTAGCCATTCCGGCACCTTCTTCCTCACCATCTCTTCTCCTAGGGATTGATTGAATCAATCGATTGAAAAGTCGCGAGAGATTTCAAGTTTCAGAGAGTATCGAGAAGATTAGAATTCGAGCGAGTCGGTGATTTGTGGGAATCGAAGTTCGTGAAAATGTTTCTTCGTCTTGTGAGTTGTGAGAGAGAAGAAAGAGAGAGGGGCCTTATGGTAAATGACCAAGTCACGGACAAATTAGTATTCATTTATGGAATTTACCCTCGGTATTGTTGACTCTCTACACATTTAACCTCTTCTTTTTCTTTATTCAAGTTTTTTTCCCCTTGTTTGACTGGGAAATGTTGATGTGTGAAAATGTTAATATGGATACACTATTTAAAACATTTGGATTGTAGTATTTTTATCTTTTACTAATGGTAACAACACAAAGCAACAGTAACTATGGTTGATTGTAGTATCAGTAGTAATATATACAAACACACACAAGCTTTAAACATCAGAAAGTGATGGACCCTATTAACCTTGGCGACTCGCATTTGTTCTCATGTGATAGCTGTGCTTCATATACATCCCCATGTGTCTTTCAATTATACATTTGACATCTGCATGTATATTAACATCTCATCATCTTCTCTTACCAAATCTCACCTTATAAAACTTATTATATTGTATATATATAAGAACATTGGGATTTTGTGTTCTGTAGTTTGACGGTGGTATTAGTAGAAGTTAAATCATTGAAGAAAACAAGAATGACACTTGCCAGTAATATTCTTAGTGAGTGCCTTATTATGTATAAGATTGCTGAAAATTTTATTAGTTTCATAATTTGACAACACTACCAAAGAGAAAGAAGAAGAAGAAGATAATGCCAGCGGTTTAAAGAACACCAAAGAAAGGGTTGTTGATGGCGGAATTGAGCTCTGTTCCAGCTGAGTTGATAACAGCTGGATTGATCTTGTCCCTTGGTAAGAACAAGAACTCTCCTCCTTCCATCTTCTCAAACCCACATAGCTCCATGAACTCTATGCCTCCTCTCAGTGAACCAACCCTATCCTGTTTCATCCCAAGAACCATGATTTGTAAGAATCTGGACTACCAATGACTGATCGAGTGAAAACTATTGTTTACCTGAAATGTTTGGTTGGTGAGTCTAATTTTCCGGAATTTCTCTTCATCTGGATTCTTGGCGACATTTCCCATATAAGTCAGCAGAGTCTGGAACGCTCTCTTTACCTTAGCATCATCCTCCTGAACCAACAACAAGTCATTACTGTTTTAGTCAAAGTTTAACTTGACCCTCCCATCTAAATTTCAATTGACACACATTATGTCCCTGAACCTTTTCCCTCTTACTAAAAGACTACTTGCTGTGTGAATTGATATAAATACAGAATGCATTTACCTTGTGGGCTTGCTTAAGAGACCTCAAGCATTCTCTCATTTGTTCAGTCTTAGTGGCAGGTCTAATAGGCAATGAACTCTGCAAAAAATAAAAACGTCTCTTAAAGCACATAGTAGAAGAGGATAAATATAACTTGCTCTTGAAAACTTCTTGTTTACCTTCTTCTCCTCCACAACTGGCACTGAGGGTTTTGCAGCCGCAGGATCTTCTGCAGGCAGTCCTAGTTTTCGCCTTCTTTCAGCCTGTTATAATTTATATATGAGTCTTCAAAGTTTGTGTTGAGAAAGAAAGATGTAATGCAAAAGGCATGTAACCTTGTCTTCTTCAACTTTTTGACGGATCTTTTCTCTAGCCCGTCTTTCTTCTTCTTTCTCGGCTTTACGCAAAAGGATTATACTGAAATACACAACCAATAAGTATTTACTTGAATAACAAAATACACAAATAAGAGTGGAGCTGACAAGCCTGGCACTATTAAGTAGAAGAAACAAACCGTTTTCTTTCGTTATCTTCTTCTATCCGCTTTGCTTCTAGGAGTTCCTTACCAATCCTAATTCGCTCCTGAACCAAAATACCAACATGTTAAGAGGTAATAACAAAAGGGGTGCTGACAGTTTCAGCCATGGAACAATCAGTATCTAACACATTCTATATGCAGATACTTATTATTCTACCATGCGTACTGCACTTAATATACATGAACAGCAATTACAGCAAGTAGAGCAAAACTTAAATTTAATAGAACAGAACCATCAAGATATTAAGTAAAAGTAGAAAGCATTTTGAAAAAAAAGGATCAACAAGGAACCTTCTCTCTTTCACGTTCCATCCGTTTTTCTTCCTCTTCTTTCTTCTTCCGTGCACGTTCCCTATTATGTGCAACACCACAAAATGAAGAAAACATAATACGATTAAAAAATTTATCATCTTGGAGGATTCACTTAACCAATATTAATCGAAGAGCAGACATTTGTCTTGATACTAGTTGAATAAAGAAGGGAAAGCATGATATAAGAGTGATGTCTTAGTCTCTGGCACACGCTACAAAATAAAATGAATATGCACTGTAAAAGAGAATACTCTAGAACCTTAGTTCTTGTGCTTTTATCTTGACTTCTTCTGGCGTAAGAGCAGGTTTAGGAGGTCCAACATTAGAGTTAGCAGGTACCTAGGCAAACAGTCAACAACATACACATTATATGCTTAACATAAGGTGATAAAAGATTGGTTGAAAATGAATAAACAGACAAAATTTGACATAAATTGTCACATCCAGGAAAATCAAACACTTTTCGCGTTGAGACAAGAACTAAACACCATGATTTAATAGCAATTATCAAGAAGAAAAACAGTTAAGAAAAGACATTCTGCTGAAAACCAAAATTTTGAAAAGACACCCACCTTTGGCATTTCATCTACGTCAGGATCATTCTCATGCTCCACCACCCAATTAACTGCAGCCTCGAGACTGGCATTACCTGAAGGATTTATGTTCAAACTATGTTACAAAAAGTGAAACTGAGAAGCAAAACATTCAATTAATAAGCTTATACCTAAGCAAGATTTACTAAAGATTATAAAAGGAGCCCACAACCAATAGTGAAAAAGACTAGAATTTTACCAGAGTAGTGAAGTGCTCGGGTAGCACGAGCTTTAGGGAAGCCCATCGCTTCAAGTTCCTCAAGAATGTTTTTGTCAACGTCAGGAACAACCATCTCTGTAGGAAAGAGATAACGACCATAACAAAAAACGTTGAAGTCACATTCAGAAACTCATACAACACATAAGAATTAGCATTTACAACGTACCTTCTGAAGCATCTCCACTACCACTAGAACCATCGGGGTTGTCAATCTCCATAGCAGCTTTAGGAGCTTCCAAGCTGATAGGTTTTACAGTCTCCATTGTCTTATCAACAAACTCAGTATGCCCTGTCCTCTTCGTATGCAAATCGCTTTCCTTCATATTGTAAAGCAACAAGAAAAGAAATCAAGAAATCATCAAAATACAGTAGTCATGAATCTCGTACAAAATTGCAGAAGCAAAAGCTCCAGAGGTAATCAAAACAATTAACTCTCTAGTAAAAGCATCAAATCACATTAGTTCAACCAGATAGTAATAAAATAACGAATACAGCTGCACATATAGCTCAAAAAGGATTAAAAACTGAAACCAATGTGCTATAGAAACCAAGAAAGTTCTCAACTTTTCCTTCTGATTACGATCAAATCAGTGGCAAACACTGGAAAAAAGACTCAATTGCATTCACAAGTCTAAGTCAAAACCGATCAACTCTATAAGAAAAAGTAAATATTGTAAAAGCCGCATCAGATCAAGATCTGCGAGTAACTAACTTCTAACCACCACTAACAAAAGCAGGCTTAGATTCATAGAGTCGAAAGATTGGTACGGTTTTAGAGCGGCAAGGTTTGCTGCAAGTAGTGCAAACGAGATTGAGCACTGCTTCAGTGGACTCTGCGAAATTGGAGTGAGAAGTGATCTCAGCATGCTCCTGAGCCTCCTCCACGGACTTCAGCAACGCTCCACAATCACCACACTTTAGCGATACTCCTGCCATAGCGATAGTCTAAACTATCTCTCACAAACTCCGAAGGTCTTTCCCTTTTAATGGTTGCTTGGGGAGCGAGAAAGACGCAGAGCCGGTTCAATCAACTCCATCCCCGTTTAGTTTTTCGGTTCTAAAATCGAATTAAATTGATTCAATCGGTTTAGATTTCGGTACGAAACAAGTATTTGGTTTGGTTAGGCTCATCATCACACTTTTTTTTTTTTGAAACACTGCTCATCATCATTCACAAGAAACATATTTTGAATAAAAACTTGAAAACAATATATTTTCAGACATGTTTTCTGATAATACATACGTAACAATAACATTGTAATAAAAATAACAAAACTAATGCTATTTGATCTAATGTGATCGTCAAAAACTTTTCTTTTTCAGTATAATAGAAATTAAAAAAAAAAAAAAATGATCTTAGTCTTGTGAGAAGATGCGTTTGTAGAACAAGATGTACGCTTCTGAATGCATAACCTTTTCCAACGAAACCTGACGAACATGTGCATCGCTTACGTTATACCACACACTCGAGGAGGAGTCACTCTCTTTAACTTTCTTACTACCTCCTCTAACATACGCCACATAGTGACCTCCTCTCATCCTCCATGAATGCTCCACCAATCCAACCAATCTGTAAACGGGCGGGTCTTCTCCACTACACCTGATGGAACCACAAGAACAAGTTTCTTATCATGGAGGGACTTAAGTTTAAAAAAAGAGATCAAGTAGGGAGAGATGAGATGATACCTTGAGTCCATATACTGGCAGAGAGTTTGTCCATATACTGGCAGAGAGTTTGTGTATATTTTTATAGATCTTTTCGCTTTTTAGGTAACAAAACAAGAGTTTAGCATTCCAAAAGACCAACAAAAATGTTAAAAAGATTCACTCTTTAACATTTAAACCAAAAAAAAAGATTCACTCCTAAACATGTCTTGTTGCAAAAGAAAACTAAATAAAGAAAGACAAAACCTAAAAGAGATTGTCTAACCATTTAAAAACTCTAACTTCCTACTACCTGTGGCTGTGTAATACGAAAAAAATAGCAAATAGAAAAAGAAACAAGAGAAGAATCTTCACTTCTGTTCAGCAGCAACCACCACACTCGGCTCTTCAGGTTTCTTCATTACAGATGCTTCCATCACAACATCATCCGTTTTCTCCTTAGGAGCCACCACTGGCACTACCTCACTCGGATTAGGGTTAAGGTTTAGACCTAAAGGATTCTGAGATGGCTCTTCCTCCAGTTCAGGATCATCATGCGACTCACTTTCTCCTGAGGAACCACTTGAATCACCTTCTTCCTCTTCTATTGGAAGATCACCTCCTTCAGCCATGTCTAGGTTCTGCTCTGGAAGCATCTGCTGCAGTGGAACAGCGTTACTTATCAGCTGTCCTGTCCTAAGCTTCTCTCTATACTCTTCCATTTCAATTCGATACCTCTCTTTGTCCTCCATTGCCTTCCCTTGGTAAACCAATCTCTCTTGTTCATTAAGCTTGTTCCAGAGTTCACCAATCATCCTGCTGATCTCCCTATCCTTACCAGGGTTAAGAGGTTTCAGCCTAGCGTGCTGCTCGGAGAAGAAGAAGTTATAACCACTTCTGTTGGGTTTGGGATGAGCAGGGTCACGTCTTTTGATCTCTGACTTCTTTCTTCTCCTGCGACGCTTTGTAGTAACCCCTTGAGGATTGACATGATAAGTGTTGGGGAAAGAGCCATGACTCTGTTGCTGAACTTGTGGAAGAAGTTCATAGAGAACTCCTCTAAGCTGCTTTGTTCCCATTGTTACAGTTACAAGGTAACCATCTTCGAATTTCCCATCGATCACTCCAGTCACATTTGGACCAGTTAAAGCTCCTGAAACAATATAACAACATCTTTTGTAAGTCACAGTTTCTCAATAAGACCATTTATGGAAACAAAAGAGATAACGAAAGTGCAGACCTCCAGAATCAATCCTTGGTTGTGGTGCAATAGCTTGAAGTTCCTGTGGAGGTCTTATGGTTCCCTGTGTAAGTCCCACTCCAGAAGATGGATTCTGGAGAGAGTCTACAGAAGAAATGATGTTACAAACATAGAAGTAAACTCAAGAAAATGTGTGTTCTGTAATGAGTTAAAAACCTGAAGGAATGTGGCTATTAGATCTGAAGAAATAGATTTGCTCATAATTGTTAAGCAGTGAGAAGTAGTATTTGCGCAGGACAAAGGATGCGTTTGTTGCTGTTGGAGGAAAGACAAATGTAGCAGTAACTTCTTTCCATCTCCTTTCATGAAGTATCTGCAAATCCATACAAGGTAAATGATCCAAAAACAAAAAGGTCTATCAATGTAGATAACAAGGGTACTAAAACAGTGAAACTTAAACTTTGATTTGAAATAACATACCTTATTGATTCCACCACGAGAGGTTACCTCGATGAAAAGCTTGTGTAAGTCCAAATCTCTCCCTCCAATAATGGGAACCCTACAATCAAAAATACATATATGAAGAATGGTTAAGCATGGAAGTTAATAGTGATGCAGCCAAAATCTCAAAGATTTGAGACTTTCTTACAATAATTTTCTTTAACAGTCAACATATATCCACTGAACTTACATGAATTTAGTACCCAATTGAGAATGTAGTCTCTCCAAGGAACCCATGAACAGTTTAGGATCTGCAACCACAGCTTCATAGGTTGCTTCAGGTGTAATGTGAGCATTGTCCATTGACATTGAACCTTGCTTAAGACAAGAGCTTGATCCCATTCCTAACACACCAACAACAAAAAGGTAAACACTTTAAAATCATTCACCCTCTTTACCAACCACTAAACCTTCTACAGCCTGCTTATTAATGAAACAAAAGTCAGAGACTTTAAGGCTCTTGCATATCTAAACTCAAACATACACAGCAGAGGACAAAAAAAAAACTGAATAAACAGATTGCGATTAAATGTAAAGCGACTTGTGATAGAAAAGTTCTAAACTTTTTAAGGATTCAATAGCAAAGACACATCTAGCCATGCAATCAAGCATATAAAAATCTAAGAAAACGTATTGCACGAAAGAAGCCATTAGCTCTCTGTTTATATGACCAGACAACGAATAGATTATTTCGATGGATGCAACATGGAAAACGATGAAAGTATATAAAAATAGCTCAGACGATGGAATGATGATAAAATAATAGTAGAGAAGATTAAAAAGATCTCACCTTGGCTGACCATTTACCCTTGAATATTCATAAAAATCAAAGCTTTGGTTTGCTTTTAATCGTGAAGCAATGCATAGAGAATATAATGAAGGGACGCGTAAATGAGGAACTCAACGATGAAGCAAAAATATAACAGATGGAGAGGCTATAAAATAGGTCAAATTTGTATATTTTACCCAAAGGGTGCCAGAGGAAATCAGAAATAATGCACGATATAAGGAAAGAAAGGAAAATGTTTAAAAAAAAGGGAAAAATACATCGATTTAATTAAAGGTATAAAACAGTTTTCTATTTTTAATTTAAATTTAGATTTTGAAGATTCACCACAAATCAAGTGTTAAAATTTATATTTTTTTATTTTAATTGTGGTAAATATAATTTGATGATTTTATTCAAACCTAATTTTGTCTATTTTTATATAAAAGGATAATTTTTGTATTTTAATTGTGGTAAATATAATTTAATGTTTTTATTCAAACCTAATTTTGTCTATTTTTAATATTTGTTCTTTTAGACATTCAAAGTTTGACTTGGCACATTTCGTTTACTAGCTAATATTGGTAATACAATTATCTAAAAAAAAAATATTGATAATACAATAAATTTTGTCTATTAAACTTTTTGATTCATCAGAACTTCTCTTTCGTTTATCTTTGTTTTAGTTAAGAATGTACATTAAAAACTACCTGTGCATATTTATCAGATCAAGTTAACATGAAAACTTACTAATTCAAAAAGGAGATAATAACAACAAAGTATCCTCAGTTACATTTGAAATCTATGTTTTATTCAAAAGTTTAAGGGATGAAATACAAAATGATATGATTTACTACTAGATTTCTCACTTCGCTGATTTTAAGTTATGAGTTTTTGTCTGGGGTCTATCTATATATAATCTTAGCCAGTATGATTGATACACAACTTTTTAAATAAGAATGAGAAAAAATCTTAAACAACTGAGATATATTATATGCATCTTATTAGTAGGAACAATATCATGTATGTTTGATTATTGAACTCCGGAAGATTCACTATCTCAACAATTTACAAAATATCATACCCGGTTTTTAGTTAGAAGAATAAAGTTCGTATGTTGTGTTTCTTTTTTTAATAACAACCAGAAGCTTGATCCATGCGATTTTTTTTTTTTTTTAATATTGTTATATTCGTTATCTGAATATTTTAAGTTCCTATAATAACCGAACGAGTTATAATTTGAAAAAACAAAAAATCCGATATCTTAAAGAAACTACATGTATCTGAACGAATACCTTAATGATCATATCTAATTATTTATACTAAGCACCCTGGCCACCTTCTCCAAGCACTCTAGTTGTACTGAAGTTTTTAGTTGCTTTCTTTAGCTCTTTGGAGGTGAATACTTTTGTCTTCTCGATGTTGCCTTCAGCTGAAGTCAACAGTTGTTTCAATAATAAACCCCCATTACTGTCTGAACAACTTTCTTATCTGTTTACTGCCAGGTATGTATGCAGACTACCGTGTGTCTGTGATACGATTAATAAGAAAGATATTGCATTAGGTCGTTGCTACTCTTATTTTCTTTTTAGATATGTTTTTAGGTCTTGCTTGCGCTGTAAGTTTGTAACAACATCTCTTCTTGAATGAAAATTATGTTTTTAATATTTCATCGTTTCGTTAACTCAGGCGTCAAAGTTTCGACCTTTAAGACCATGTGCATTAATGAACCCCTCCATTGGGAGGGGTTCATAACTAGAATTTTTTATTATTATTTTTTTTTCGTTTGATTTTGCAAAAAAAAAAAAAAAAAAAAAAAAAAATTTGCACTGACCAATAGCGGGTCGCTATGTGGCGTGGGGCCCGCAAAACAGTGGTGAACTCCACCCTTCACGGGATCACGGGAGAGAGCTGGAGAGAGACATGATCATGGGCAAAACATTATTTTAATATATTTTCTTCTTGAAAACTGTGTGAACCTTGGCCATGATCCTTCAATGTACATGGTCTAACATGGTTTGGTTATGAAACTAAAAATCTTGTGTTAATCAAACTTTTCTGGATGAACAATTAATTTGATAAGAGATTGGAATGATATCGTGGAAATTGGAACAGAGAAAAAGGTGGAAAGTGTAACATCTTGGTTTGTATATGTTGAGGTTTAATAGAATTAATTTGTTTAATTATATCACCAAAGTGTATTTATTTTTTGTTCACATAACCAGATATAACTTGAAAGTGAAACGTGCTTAGTAGTAAAAATGTAGATGATCGGTCCAAAAATGATTTACAATATTGTGCATCCAAATCACATTGAAATGTTATATGGTCATTGCATAATCATTAAACAAGTATTTCTAGATCTAAAAATGCCCACTAGCAGTAGATGTTGACATAAGCTAGAGCTGAGAGGAGGAAATTTCATGGCTTTCAAATCGCTATTTTCGAATTTTGCTCTTTTCGGAAGCTTTCAACTTTCAAGTGTTCAGAGATTACAAGGGAAAGAACCTGTAGTGTTGTTTCTTATTTTGTTACAATTTATAGTAAGTTTATTCAAGCTTTCATCTCTGCCAAATAAATAAATAAATAAATAAATAAATAAATGACAACCCTATTACTCTTTTCTGAATAAGATGATAACTTTTATATGTTACTTGTCAATCTGGTTGTTTGTTATTTGAGACTTCGAGTAGTAGGCCCTTTGAAAACATAATATATCATTCAACTTGGTGCAGATATAAAAAAAAAAACATAATAGTGCTTCATACATCAATACAAATGCAAACCATAAAGTAGATACATAGCCAGATATTTATAGAGTTATCATCATCTAGCTGATATAGAATACTTACTAACAGAATCATTTGGTGCAATCGAAATGTGGTGGTTACCATGTCTGACGAGGAAATAACGGCTCGACATCTGATAATGATGTTGTTTCAACGTTGTATTCAATTCCAGAAGGAGCACTAACACTGTTGTTGCACGATTCCACACCAATAGTAATCTCCTCAACTACTTGCTCTACATCATCGTTTTCAAGAATATGAACATGTGACTGTGAACGAATACTCTCTAATTCCATTGATACTTCTCTCATGCTCGGTCGATCCTTTCCAGTTAGCTTCAGACACCTCCTTGCAAGTTGAGCTGCAGCCACGACTTGCTCCAAATTGCAATGTTCTCTGACTCGAGGGTCAATAATGTCGACAACTCTGTTCTCTTCCATTGCAACAATGAAATAAGTTGCCAGTGTTCTGCTTTGTTGAAACCGCACAAAAGATATGGGCTTCTCTCCAGTGATTAGTTCCACGAGCACCACTCCAAAGCTGTAGACATCACTTTTGTCGGTGAATTGGCTGGATTGGAAGTATTCCGGATCCACATATCCAACTGTACCCGAAACCACAGTAGTTAGGTGGGTATGATCAACCGTTACCGACCTTGAAGTGCCAAAATCAGCCACTTTAGCTCGATATTTTTCGTCCAACATTATGTTTGTGGATTTAACATCTCTATGAAAAATTGGAGATGCAGCTGCTGAGTGGAGGTATGAAAGTGCTCCAGCAATATCTATGACAATGCGCAAACGCATTTCCCAAGTAGTCATCACAGACTCATCAAACTCACCATGAAGATGCTCAAAAAGGTTACCGTTAGAAATAAACTCATAAACAAGAAGAGGCACTTCTGTCTCAAGGCAACAGCCTATGAGTTTCACGATGTTTCTGTGGTTGATCTGCGATAGAATGACTACCTCATTAATGAACTCTTCAAGCTTGTCTTCATCCACAACTGTAGATTTTTTCACCGCTACGATTCTACCATCTACGAGCATTCCCTTATACACGGTACCTTGGCCACCTTGTCCAAGCACTCTAGTTGAATTGAAGTTTTCAGTAGCTTTCTCTAGGTCTTTTGCGGTGAATACTTTTGACTTCTCGATGCTGCCTTCAGTTGCAATCAACTGTTGTTTCAATAACAAACCTCCATTACGTTTGAACCAATTTTTTTTGCGGTTGATCTTCCTTTGTTTTTTAATATATTTGTATAACCACAAAGTTACACTGACAAGCATCAGCAGACCGACACCTACAGCTATTCCTGCAAACCCACAAGAGCGAGGTGAAAATCGATACTTTATTTTTGTACCGACTCATATAACAACAAATAAGTACAATATATATGATGTATCAATTTGGATGCAGGTTGATTTTTTTACCCGTAGTAATTGCAAGAACATTGTCCTTCTTGTATACGCAAGTATCCGCACAAGTGCCTCCTTGTGACCCACAACTGTCGCACTCATCTAGATAAACAATGTCATGAAAATGTAGTTAGATGATGAAGATCTCTTATACCTATATATAAAGGTATTGCTTTGACTGTAATCATCCATTATGTTTTCCTACCACACATTTAAGACTTGTTATAAGCTTACATGATATTTACATGACATAAAGGAAAAAATTACTAACCTATACATCCACCCAAAGTATATGGGTTGCCTGTGTAACCCGCGTTGCATGCACAACCTACGCTGCTGATCTGATCGTTTGTATTACTCACACACATGCAAGGGTTAACGCTAGAGCTGGAGTACCCTATTGTGCATCCCAAGGAGCTGATAAACGAGAGATTTGTCATCTGAATGGCCCACCGTAGTTGGATTATAACATAATGCATATCGTAAAACCATTGCGGATCAGTTATTTTGACATGTCCAAGTTCGTCTGTTAAGAAGGCTACTCGACACCCTCTCTCTATTGTTTTGTTACTAGAAATTTCCTCCATACCGATACCAACTAGCTGTCCAATCCCACTAGGTAGTTCTGCGTGGCAGCATTTGTTACCACGGCAGCTTGTATGATCCAGTATCCTTCTTGGCTCACAAGTCGAGATGCATCCCACCAATATGGGGTCAATATGTGTCAAGGTGGCCTTGAAGTTGCAGCCAATAGCTTGTAAAGTGTTGGAACGACCAATGGTAAACGGACTTCCGGTAAAACTCAAAGGCTCGCCAAACTTTATTTTTTTATTGCTGCTGTTGGAACACCCCATGGAAGTTATGTTGGTTTTGACGCGAAGGGAGCCATATGATTCGGTGTTGCTGGAAAAAACGTTTATATCCGGTAGAGAGATTTCCACAACTTCTTTGTTAATCTTTGGTAGATAGGGGACAAGCTCTCCAGAAGTGGAATTGTTGCATTGAATTGCAAACCATTTGCTGAGGTAGCAACCCTTTCCGATTCCGAAAGGATATGGTATGGAGATGTTTCCACAGTGGCTCGCACAAGAAGATCTCGAAGTTTTGAGATCTGCTGAAGCAAGAGTCAAGACAAGTAGTGTTGAGAGATGAGTTGAGAGTAGTAGTGCACACTTCATTTCTTTTTTTTCTGTCTTCAAAGTTTGCTCTTACAACTTCCTACCAAGTGCGAGCTTGAACTTCTTCCTCACTGATTTTGAATTCATACAATGCTTCAACCAATCAACATTCCCTCATTACCTAACGTTCACGGTATTCCCTTTTTTTTTGTTGGCTATATCGTCAATTGACTTTGGTTTAGTTGTGAAAAGTCTTTTTGAAGATATAACATAATCAATAACTGAATATTCGACCTAACTCCATTAATGTGCGAGCTCTTACAGTACTGTTTTTTTTTTTTCCTGATAAGAGAAGTAATTGCTCTTGCAAGTTGCAACTACTTCCTACCAAGCGCGAGATAAAACTTTATTATTGTGGCAGTAAAGCAAACAACAGCATTCTTAACAATCTACCTCATTGACTAAAGCTTTTCTTCTTGGTGAAGAACTTTTTGAATTATTTTCTCTAAATATTTCAAACTTAATTCTGTAAGTTAAACTCCAGCAGATTTAGATTTTTGGAGACCATGAGAGTAGTAGTGGAGATATTTTGAAATATTTCATAATTCGACATAAATTTCATATAATTCAAACTTCATTTCGACATATTTGAGAAAATATTTCAAACTTGAAGACCTTTTCGACATAGCATAAACCTCCAGTCTAGCTTAAACATGGTTTGGTTATGAAACGAGAATTCGGCCAAAAAATGCACCAACTTTGCACGAATGGCCAAAAGAAACCTATACTCGAGTCTGGCCAAAAGAAACTCTTTATTTTTTTCATTTTTTTGACATTTTAAAGATTTTTTAAAGTTCTTATAGAATTTTTTTTATATTCAATAAGTACCAAATATAAGTATATGTGTTAGTAGATACATTGAATGTGCCACTAGCCTAGTGGTATACTACCTTGCCACTTTATCCAATCATTCCGGGTTCGAATCCAGGGACTTTTTCTGTTAAATTGGTTGACGGCGTGCCAAATTGGCAAGTCAACGAAAACATTGTTAATTAATTCGAAAGTCAATGAAAAGTTTATGTTTTTTTTGGTCAGGCCAAAAGTTCAGGTTTCTTTTGGCAATTCGTGCAAAGTTCGTGTTTTTTTTTGGCCGAATTCTCGTTATGAAACCAAAAATCTAAAGTGTAAAACGAAGTTTTCTGGATTAAGTATTAATTTTAAAAGGTATGGTATATATTGAGAAAATAATGTAAATATGGGGACATAGAATGTAAATTTAAAAACATACATCTCTCTCAGATTAATAAACCCTAGTTTCCATAAAACCTCTCCCACACCTTAAAAAACCAAACCTTTACAATGAACAACGACGAATCTGCACAAAAACCAATGGATGATGATGATAAAGTCTGTGGAGAGTGCAAGCTAAATCCATGGAAGTACAAATGCCCAGGATGTTCAATTCGATCATGTGCTCTTCCTTGTGTGAAAGCTCACAAGAAGCGAACAGGTTGTACCGGAAAAAGAAAACTCACCGACTTCGTTCCCCTCTCCAAGTTCGACGACAATCTCCTCCTCTCTGGTGATAATAATAATCACATTCAAAGTTTCTATTTTGATTGTTATTTATTAACTCTCTCTCGTCTAATTGTTAATGAGAGTTTTGATTTTTTTTTAAGTTTGTAGTTTTGATTGTTAGTATTAATTTTCTCGTCTAATTGTTAATGAAAGTTTTGATTTTTTTTTAAAAGTTTGTATTTTTGATTGTTAGTATTAGCTTTCTCGTTAAAGGGTTGATGAAAGTTTTGATTTTTATCAATGAGTAGACTACAATATGTTGGAGGAGACGAAGAGAGTGGCGGAGTCTGCTTTGAGAAGGAGACATCAGTTATGTAAGAACCCTTACTTTAACTTACACGGTGGTCTTCGTAGCCTCCGGTTTGCTGCTGCTAACCGAAAAACTAAGCTTTGGTTTCTCCCTGGTGGGATGTTGAAGAGGGACAAGAACCAGACTCGATACAATTCCCGGTAATGATTTATGGTCTTTTGATGACTGCATAGTCTTAGTTTCTGACCAATCTGGTTCTTGGTTTTAGGAAGAATTGCATCTCATGGACAGTTGAGTGGCGGTTTCACTCTACAGATGTGGTTCTTGTTGATCATGGGTTAGTATTCTCTTCTTAACTGACAGTTTGGTCTTGGTCCATTATTAACTGCTGTAACAATCCATCACAGTGTTGGTGAAGATACAAGCCTTTGCTCTGTGATAGAGAATCATCTTAAGCCAAGCCCTTGGATTCACAAGCTCAAGCCCTTTTGTGATGTGGATCTTGATTCTCTCAAGCTTTTTATTCGCAAATACCCCAAGGTTGGATATTGACCACATATTGCATTGTTGTGTTAGTCTTTTCTTGCACACTATATAAACTTTTCTCTCCTTGGTTGCAGGGTGTAAAGGTTCCTTTTAAGGAGCTGGACATCAAGTCTGCCTTGAAGCAACAGCTTGCTCACGTAACTATCTTAGAGTACCCTGTGATCCATGTTTATCTTCCTTCACAGAGCTATGACTTTGAAGTTATCAGAGACTTTGACCGTGAGAAAACAACACCTGACCCTAAATACTATAGCCAAACAGAAGGTGCAATTACGAGAGAAGAGGAAATAGAAGAAGACATGGACTCCTTTGAGCCAGAGGTTCTTGATCTTATGAAACAAATAAACTATAACCCGCGTCAGCAAGTCTCAGAGGACAACAAGGTTGAAGGTTGTGGGGTTACCAAAAATGCACATCCTGACGAGAACATGGAGCTTGAGTTTGAACAAGGGTTAATAGACACATACTCTGATCTTTTCCCTGAGTTGAACCCTGGTGATTATTTCAATTTTGAATGTGAGTTTGCGAAAGGGTTTGATTCAGATTTTAACTGCAATCTTCAAAGTCTAGCTACTACTGATTTGAGCATTGATGGACTAGAGGAAGGTGAAATCGCTGAATGATGGTCATCTCCGGTTTAAAAGAAATAACAGAGGATAGTACTTTCACTCCAAGTCTCCAACATTCTTGGTCATGCCTGAACTGAACTTCCCTTGTTGAAAGCACATTGGCTATTGTTTGTATCATCCAAAGCTCGAACTAGATAGCCAAATCCTTTTGATTGCAGAACCAGTGGTCATAAACGTTTTTGGTTTGAGATCAGATCAACAGGTCTTTCTGTAGTCTAGTGTGTTTAGTTATTTGTTACATTCAAATATTATTTAATCGATGTAAGAGAAGGTCTTTGAAACTTTATGCTTATTCTCTTCTCCACTTTCTATAAACAAGTTAGTGTTGAAGACCGTTTGCGTAGTCCAAAGTAACACTCTAACCTTGTATTCGATGTAGAGAACAACCAAGATGTAACCGTGTAACGAGCAATAAGCAAGTACATTAAGAAAAATATCTGCAATCTACGTGACTACATATAAAAACTGAAAATTACTTGTCATGAGTTTCTTGAGACGAAACAAACAAATTCACCAGTCACTAAAATCCTCTTTAATATACACATTGGAAGATTCTGAATTCAAGGAAGCCCTCAACGTTAACTCGGTTCAATACAACTCAAACAAGTGAACCACTACAGGTAGACTTCTCCTAAAACTCGAGATGCTTAAGGAATTAGATGTCCCTCAGGGTCATGACTCATGAAGATTCACTAAATTGACCTGAGGAGACTAGCGCGGATTTGAGTGAGTTTATGGATGACGAATCAGATGGTGCTTGAATCTCTCCAACGCAGAACCATGAGTTGTAACCTCAAACGTACCTCTTAATGGTTAGAGGAATAGTGACATCTCTGTAGAAGGGATAAAAGGAAGAATCCTATTACCATAAAGTTGTTGCAGTTTCACCAAGAGCCGTCCAGAATCAAGGTCATCTTTCCAAATCTGACTAAGGATAGCTTTTCTGGTAATAGCCCGGCCCTTGCCTCCTTCTTTCTCCTTTGCGTTTCTGCTTTCAGATTCATTACCATCAGAAGCTTGTTGTGATGAGGATGGTTGGACAGAGTTTTGTGTCAGATTGTAATTTCCCATCGGTTTATCTACAGGCATTGGAGCTGGACCGGTGTGATTTTGTAGTTGTAACCCATCTGGCCCGTCTGCAGTTATCAATCTTTTATGAGGTGGCTGGTTTTCTGTAGTATCAGCACTCAGCTTCCGCTTACCTGACATATTCATAAAGGGGAGAATAAACGTGGGTTTTGTTATCAGAGAGCCAAATTAAGCAGAGAGACATATTCATGTTCCATGTTATTATTATTCTTTTGGTTACGGTATATCTAATTAGTCTCTAAGCATTGTATGACGCACTAACAACCATATTAAGCAGAGAAAGTAAATTAGTTGATGCAACTTACGTGGCACAGCATTGATTATTTTTCCCTTTCCCTTATGGAGGAAACTTGGTGAAGGGGATGGCAATTTTAGGAAGATTTTAAGTCGATCATGTATACACAGGCCTGCAGCACGCTGCGAAAAAAACCACAAGTCTCTTAAAGGATTGTGCATATATGAAACTAGTGAGATATTGTGTGCAGTTTTGGACGATGACTAGGACTAACCAGCAAGGCCCCATACACACGCCAAGCTTCATAGCTTTTCATTTGGTTCCTTTGCTTCTCAGCATCCAGTTCTGGTCCGAGAAGACTTAGATACGGTTCCAGATTTGGCAGAATAAGAAGGCGTACCTACACAATAAAATGACATTCAGCTAACATGGGAGGAGTACTGAGATTTAGTTTTTTTTTTCTGAGACCGGTGACAATATTGTGGAGTAACTTTGTTTCCAGGGGAAACTTGTAGAAATAATCAAATTTTGAAAACAGCAAAGTGATAAATGAGACATCACGGCGCTAAAACGAAATAATATCTGAAAGAAGCGTCATAAGAGTAAAGGAAGCACTTACAACATTGTGCCCCAAAGCTGTTAATCCTTGAATTGCCCCATAGTGCTGAGTCAAAGCTTTCTTTGGGTCCAAAAGTGCATTGACTAAAGTTTTAGTAAGACGGGATTGAAGAGTAATGTAAGCGTTTCCAAACCTGGAAAATTTTATTCGAACCACAAGATTTCAGATTTAAAAGAATGTTAAGGTACGATGAGTAATATAGATTTTAGAGACAATGGCCAAAACCCTTCTAAATAATGAATAAAACTATAGGAAGAAATGATTATTGCTCCTTAATTTAGATCTTCCCAATTGATTTTTCAGCTCAAGCGGGAAAAATACCAGATGCCAATAGCAAATAGACCAAGCTAAGTTAAACTTAGTGAACCATACAATTGCTCTGTATAAAATTTCATTATTGAGTAAAAATGTTCAGTAAGATGATCCCCTACAATTAACCAAAAACGAACACAGAGTTGAGTGAAGTGAAAGGGAAAGAACGAACCTTTTACATATCAATGCAACCACATTCGCTGTAAAATCTCGAAGCTCCCAATGGTTATCGGCAAATCTATTGCCAAGCTTTCTCGATACAAGGCATGTTACAACAGATGGCATCAACTGGTGCAGCTGCCACCAAAAGAAAAGGTTTACTTAGCTTCATGGTTATGAAACAACGCCTTAAAAAGAACTTATACTAAACATACTCCGAAGGCTGGTTTAAATAAATATCATCCCAAGTGAATATGAAATTATGTCAATACAAGATCCAAGGAGAAATTTAATGTAATCCACAGAAGTTCGTTGAACTTGCACAGTGTTCTCGAAACCAACACTGCTTGTCTATCCCAACCGTGTTATATGCATAATACAGAGCATGCCTAAAATGCAATTTGAGAAACCCACAACAAAAACCTAGAAAAAATGTAGCTACTTGATTCTTAACAATTCTTAAGAATGGTAGAAGATAATCCAAAGAGCAACTTACATAAAGTTCTATGTTTATATGAGGATTCTGTAGAAGACTTCTAACAACGTGCATTAGATTAAACAGGAGTCGGAAGTCATTTAAACCACGTGATACCTGCACCAGTGGAGAAGATAATTATTATCATGTGTATCAAGTAATTGCGGGCCTTTTTTCTTTTTTAAGATGCCTCGGCGGTGCATTATGTTACCTCATCAGCAATGAAATTTGTAAAATATGGGACTAAAGGATGAAGTCCTGAGTCTGAGGCCAAGCTCACTAATGCTTCTTTAAACAGAGCAGGGTTTGACTTGCTCATTGTAAGTTCAGCAATCTTTTGGAAGTATAACTGTAAAGAGAAAAAAACCGATGAGTCTTATGCATATAAGATACGTCCCTGTGGTATATAGCCTGCACAATATACCTGAAGTTCCCTAGATAGTACATGCTTCACTGGCAGCCTAACGTCAACTAGAGGTGCATCCTTTTGTTCATAGATTTTGTTTTCTGCAGGTGCTCTGATGACTAAACACACCATAAAAAAAGTGGAATATAAACACACCACAAGGGCAGAAAGAACTTAATTCACTAGTTTAACGTCACTGTACAGTACTAATATTTGTTTCATGTCAACCAATTTAGTTAATAACTTTACAATTCCAACCCAGGACATAAAACTGAGAGGCAAACCTTCTAAAGGAGCATTTTCTGGTATAGCTGGCTGCACTCCTTCGATAGCAAGCCAGTGAGAGACAACTTCAGTATCAAGGGGAGCTTTCGGTAGTGGAGCTTCAATCACCTAGAATCATGACATTTCTTGAAAATATTAGAAGAACATAATAAAGGGTTTAACTGAAACAAAAGAAGTGTATATATATACCCAAGATCTTACATCTTTGAAATCCACCTCTCTGTCATCAGTGTAGAACAAATCCTGATGCCCAATAGCTTTTCTAAAACGAAACGGTCCTCCTGAGGCAAAGCCATATGTCGGCTGCAATAAATATGATCACTCTCAGATAGATGCCACTGAATCAGTTAACTGCTATTAGCGATAGATAAATATATGAAAGCATGGATTAATTGATGGTGTTATTCATATGCACCAGGAAGGTGGTCAAACCTCAAAACCAGAGACAATATATATTTCTCACTACTAGACAACTCCACCAAAGAAATATCAAGTAATGTTCATATCATCCAATTAAGCAATAAATCACTATACAAAACTCTAGATGATGGGAATTAGCAAATAGTCTCTCTAGTAAGTACCTCAAGGGTCCTTAAATTGAGAGCACCATCAACATCCGAAGCTGTTAAAGTCGTTCTCTTTGAGTGACGCATGCATTTGATAGCTTCCTGCAAAGACATCCAAAAAGACACATCAAGAACAACAAAGACATAACTAGAAATAGATATAAAAGGTAAACCTACCTGCATGATCTCACGAACACGATACTCAACATCAGGAGCAAGCATAAGTGCAGCCTCAGGTGATAAGTTGGTAATCCCAATACTCTGTGCTGTAACCTCAATCGTTTCCTTAGTTACAATGCTCATCTTCTCCGTTTACACTATATTCGAACACAAAGAAGTATGAATTTTACTATGAAGCAAACAGTAAAACACGATTAAAAAAAAAACGCACCGATTCAATTGTCACAGACCACGAGAGTAGTAACGTCTCGACTCAGAAGATAGCTCCAAAGATAATGGCGAACAAGCACTGATTCGGTTCACCTCAAAGATCCATAAGCCAAGCAGCTTGAATCATATATCCGATTTAAAGATCCGGGCGATTTTATTGGGCTTTTGTTAGCCCAATAAATAGTCGAGTTTGCCTGTTTTCTAGCTCTGCCAGACCAAAACTCAAACGATTGTTAAAACTAAAAGCAACACAGGTTTGATATGTTCTATGTCCGTATGTAATGAATGTAAGTAACACTGCTATATACAACAACAATCAACAAATTAATAGGAATTTTTTTATTATCCTACAAGCATCATCAAGAGGAGACCAAATAATAAGATTGTTGATAAATGCAATAAACAATGTGTTATAGGAGTCATTAGTGGTTAGATCTTTGGACTGTTCCGTGAAGCAGGTTTCATGTTCATTGCAATTAATATTGTCTCAAGAAGAAAAAAATGCAGACAGTATTTGAACTTGATCAATTACAAGGAACAACTTCATGACAAAAACGGATGTGTATACACTTGGATTAATTTCGAGAATCTACAGAGAGAGCAAAAAAAAAGAAGGGAATCGTTCTTTTGTTTCGATTAGCTAATTGCTTTTTGAATTGTTTCTCCCCAAACCAGTTTTTTCTGATTCTTTCAAGCGGCACCCTCAGGTGGTGGTGGTGTCTTCAAAGCATTATCTGTTGTTGCTGTTTTGTTCTGCCTTGGGAAAGGTCGTCTAAGGAACCTTGAAGTAGGCCAAGCTCGGGGTTTAATCCTCCCTAATAATAACTTCCATTCTCTCGGTTTTAACTGCCCAGCCAATATCATTTGTTCTCTTTTAAACTTCCTGTTTGCATACCATATCCCTCCACGCCAACCCAAGCCATACCTGAAAACCAAAAAACAAAAACACAGACAGAAGACTATTAATAAGCATAGAACTAGTTGTGACTTGTGAGAATAAGAAGAGTTGTTTTGGTGGAAACAACAAACCCGAGGATCAAAGTTGTTCCAGCGGTGGCAATTGTTGAAGTGAACCTGGAACCCACTGGATCAACAAGCTCCTTGAGTTCTCCTCGTTCCAGTTCATGAGTGTGTTTCATCTGCCGTCAGGAGAAACAAAAGTTTCAAGTGACAATCAGTGGCAATAATAGAGCAACTCTAGGGATTACTTAACCACAGAGGTATAATAAGCAAAAAATCATTTTCAAGAGTTTACACAGATGAGAACTATAGGAATCCAAATATGCAAGCAGCTAAATACGATGCATCAATGTAATACATCGATATATCACTCATAGTTTCCAATAACAACTAACAAGCCAGATAAGAGGCACTAACCGCATTTTCAATCGATTCCAGCCTCTGATCGATCCTAGTTTCATTGTAGTGGCGTAACGAATAACCTGCACAATCATATTCATCATCCAATGGGTCAGTTACAAAGGCCAGCTCAGTGTGAACAGAAACAAATACATCAATAAAGATACTCTTGCAACACTCAGTACAACAAAAAAAAAACTTGGGTTTCTAAAACCCTGGCAGAATAAACGAAGAGGCAGCAAAATCATGTAAAAAGTTCAAAGTAGTGAACTTTGTTATTGGGCAGATGAGTTATCATTATCATGGAAGTTTAAACATCATCTCCAAACCTCAGGCATTAATGTATAGTATCAAACACAACATTTCCGTGAAATCAGCAACTTAAACATCAACATCGAGTTAAGGATTACATCTACAATGGCAAGGGAAATTTGAGATGATAGCATAAACTAGAAACTTACCAATCCAAGCGGTAGCAACAGATGCAACAGAAGTTGCAACTGTAAACACGACCCTCTGCCTCTCCAACAAATCCTAAGAAATGATAACGAAAGCCCATTAAGCAAATGATGTCACAATAAAAATCGTAACGAAAAAACTAAACCCAATTCTTCAAAAATCCATATGAATTGAATTGAAACTAATCGTCAATACCAAAAAAATGAACTTTTTACAGAAGAGAGAAAGAGGGAGATAGATGGATGACCTTGGTGGAGATATAAGAGTCTTGGAGAGCGACCAATGAGTTCTGGGCTCTCTTCTTCAGATGAGGCATAGCTGCTGAACCTAGAAGCCATGCCCCTCGCCCTCTCAGCCGATTCATCGCTCCTTATGGAGAAACTCGGAGCGAGTTGACTCGGCGTCGTGATTCAGATATACTCTGGATTTTGCCAACGCAGAATCGTCTGGGAGAGAAGAGAAACCCAGCCAGGCTATTTCCTCCCCACACGCACAAAGGACGAAGCTTTACGCAGATTTTTTTTTCTCCGACCAAAAGCCTAAAAAACAACCATTTTTCATTTCTATACTTGGAATGTTCGGTTTAATATTCTTAACCTTGTCCAAAAGACTAACTAAAGTAAGTAATTATTCATTTTATTTTTTTTAAATAATTAAATACTAATAATACTCTATTTTGTTTAACCATTCTACAAATAAGATAAATTTAAATTATAAATTAGACTAAACTTGAATAAAGTGATATATTAAGACGAAATGTATTTATGGCATTTTGTTTAATAGTTGTGGCGATTATTCAGTGTAAAGTTTATTAACAGAGTCAACAAAAATAGAACAGAAGAGCATATTGAGAGACACCACTGGTTTCCTTGTCCTATATTGTTTTCAGCCACAGCCAAAAGAAAAGTCATAAGATTCCCTCCTCTTTCACAAAATTAACAAAAAATGACACAGAGAGATCATTGAGATCTTTAGAAGCCTGAGCATGGAGATTCAGCCCATATTGCTGACTGTGATCATGAATTATGATCATGGTGATGACGATTCTTTCTTCCTTTGGGAGTGATTCAATTGTTTAGAATCATCTCCTGGTTTCTCAGTCTCTAACATTTCCTTCTTGACATCAGGTTTGTCGTTCGACAGAGCCTTTGAACCAGAGCGGCTTGGAGATGGTGTGATCCTCTGATAATTTGATGAAACATAAGGCGTGGTCAAGCCAGGGTATGGCAGCATTGAATGGTCGATGTTGCAGTTTGGTCCAAACTTGCAGAATCCATATGACTTGACGTTACCACAAACTGGTTGTCCCTGGACAGCAAAAAGCAGAACAGTGATTATACATATAACATGTAGGAACCAAATGAAGACCACATCTTCTTGTAACTAGAGCTCTTATTTAAGTATACAAAAATCAGGATTTGATATGCAAAACCAAGAGCACAAAAGACTTACAGGTCTAGCTGGGAGAACAAATGAGTTTATGAGATTTGGTGGTGGTGGTGGTGACATTATTCTCACACCAAGATGACTGTATTTGCAATCGTCCCCATATTTACATGTCCCAGTGTTCATAAAAAACCGACATTGTGGTCGTTCAGGCATGGGCATTGATACACTAGAGCCAGAGTAATAAGGTTGATTCTTCATATCATACATGGAGTTAGATGCACACTGCAACATAACAAAATGAAGCCAAATTTTCCAAAAGCACAACACTATCAATCACTGGTAGCTTCTATTCAGACTTACCATGTAAGTGGCCCAGCTTTGAGGAGGCACAAGGCCTTGAGAGGGTGAAACCATGAGAGGAACATAGGGCTGAGGAAGTTGCGGACGAGGCAAAGCTCCATAAGTAGACATCATTGTTAATCCTCCACCATAATGTAAACCGCCAGAAGGGCAGCTAGACATTCCATACGCAGCATTAGAATGTCCATTATCAGGTTGAGGATGGTGGAATTTGCAAGAAACTCCGAATCTGCATGTTCCCGTTCGCAGGTAATATGAACATGGCTTCTCACCCTGGAGAAGAAACTCAAATAAGTCTTCCACGTTCCATAAAGATTAAAAAAACAGATAAAATTACCTGACGCATAGGTAAACTGAGAACATTGAACAACACAGGTTCTGCTCCATTCCTGTCCTTTGGGTGATGGTATTTACAACTTGAGCCGTACTTACAAGCTCCTGTCTTCAGAAAATACTGCAAAATGTTTTTGAAAAACACTATTCAAGAAAGCAAACAAGAAGGTTCATCTACTGGCCAAGCTTATCTATCTTTCAAATCAAGGAAAGACTAAACCAAACATGAAGAATATATTCCGTGATTCACTATAGCTTCTAATTAACTCTTAAATGAAGATACAAACTTGAATAAGTTATGTTCCGTACTTTAAATGGGCATTAAGATTAACACAAATGCATCACGTTCAACAATATATCGTTTTTTTTAACTAGCCAAGCGTATCTATCTATCTATCTATCAAAACGAGTTAAGACTAAACCAGACAAGAAGAATGTATTCTGAAGGTAAATGTAGATTCTTGTTGCTCCTCAAGTAAAATCACAAACAAGAATATGTTCTGTTACTGATGCTAGGTGGATGGAGAGAATAAGCTTAAAGGTGAATGCATCACGCTAGAAAAGGATATCGCCTTTAACTCTCTATGATGCACTCATAGCAACAACAACCAATCAAGTTAATCAAATTATAGAGATGATTATTAGAGAGATCCAAAGAACTACACCTCACAATCCGGCTGCCCAATCCTCTCAGGGAGCTCCTCGTTGTAATACATAGTACCCTATGATGCAGTAAGCCATGAGACAAAAGCTTATATTAATTAAAATGAAGAAATTTGAAACTTAGAAAACTATTATATTCCTCACCTGTGGAAGATGAGTGGGATGATTGAAACGACAACTGCTTCCATACCCACAGAGACCAGTTCTTAGATAGTATTGACAATCTCGTTCACCAGGACGATCTGGATACGCATTAGATTGCAACACTCCCTTTTCATCTACTTTCATCTTCTTAAAGGCATCTAAGTATCACACCAAATATAACATAAACATCACATGACTATTAACTAATGATGCTTTCCAAACTTGGATCAGTATATATTTGAAATGCTACAAAATGTAAACAGAGTGTAAATAGTGAAACCACAAATGAAATGATGATCAGAATTAGAAAAGATAATATGATCTTTGAAACCTGATCACATATGGATCTACTTAGATTTAGAAACTTACCTTCTATTTTGTCCGAAGATCGAAGGGACAGAGCAGAGCTATGAACATGCTGAGTGTCTGACATGAGTCTCGTGTAAGAAAAGGACAATGAAGAACGATGATCAACAAGAAACAAAAGAAATGAGAAAATCACAGATTAGCAGTGTTATGATCATCTAAAGGAAACAGGTAGAAAGGTCAAAAATCTAACAGTTTCCAAATTTTAATTTTATGAAATATTTCTCAATAGAACAGATCCAATGGAAAAAACAATGCTAAAATACTGCAGACTGATTTAAAGTTTCTTCCTTTCTCTTTTCTTTCATATTTGCACAGAGTGTGAAAGATTTTTCAGAGGAAGTTTTCTTTAGGATCTTCTTAACTTTTGTTTTTGGTGTTTGCCCTTTTTCTGTCCCTCCGATGTCTGTGTGTTTTCAATGTGAACACAGGAAAACAAAATTAAACTGTTTTTTAAATAAATATTAAAACATAAAATGTGCCAAGTGATGATTCTTGCCTCCCCTCGTGTACGGGTTATTAAATTCTGCTTCGGCATGTACCTTCAATTACAATATTACCCTTCCCTAGACTCATATTCTTCAAGAGTTTAAATTGATGATTTAAATTTTACAAATCTAAGCTTACTTTTTAATGAAAATATTGATGATTTTAATTAGTTTTAATCTATTTTAATAATAATAATAATCCAACAATATCATCTCATTTTTCCTAATTTCTGCGATTAAAGTATAATAAATATCTTACTATCTTCTACTATTTTATTGTATCAATCTAATTTTGTGTTACAAATGAATCTTTCTTTTTTTTCTTGAACAAAAGCTTTATTACAAATAGATCTTTTATATTTTTATTGGTATCACTTAAGATTTCCCATAGTTTAATCAATGTGTGTTGGAGATAATCAGTGTATGTGACACAAAAGAAAATTATTATATTAAATAAATAATGTTTTAACATTTCCCAAACATCTTTTTGATGGAAAAAAATGACAGAATAAATTTTTTTAGAAAGAATCTACAGGATAAAATTAATGTTAGTTTGGTTTTTAGAATTAAAGAGCAAGCAAAAATAAAGTTGTGATAAATAATAAATTAATAATAACTAATTTTTCAGTTTGTTACGAAAACAATGGCGACTTTTCTCTCTCTGTCCGGTGACGGTTTCTTTTCTCCTTCTCGGAGCGATTTTCCGGCCCCATTCCTTACTTTTCGGGAAATTTGTGTCGGTTTTCTTCCACTGAGCACGTTCTCTGGTGGTTTCATTCCGTGGTTCTCTCTCAACTACGGTTATTCTTCTCGAAAACCGCCATGGAAGTGTTCTTATATAAATCTGATTTTCCAGTTTCCTGCTCTCTTACTTCTCTCAATTTTCGTAATCATGGGTGATAAACTAAGAAAAAAGATGCAACGCATTACTCTTGGGGTTGAAGATGAACCAGTCGCTCTCCCTCCGGCAATTTGTTCTCAAGCGGCGGCTAGTAATCAGTATTCTTTGGTGGTTATTCCGTTCAATCCCAGGAAACAGAATCTGCGTGTGATGATCAACCAATTGCCTCGCTTATGGGGTGTTGAGGCAAATGGGCGTATTATAGATTCTAACCGCCTCCAATTCATTTTCCAATCTGAGGAGGCAATGTTGATGGTTACTAGACGCTCCCCTTGGTCGTTTGCGGAATGGATGCTCGCGGTCCACCGTTGGTATCCAAACATCAGTGAAGAGGAACTCAAAATTATCCCTTTTTGGGTTCAGATTCGTGGAATACCTCTACAATTCCTCACTCGTCCGATGATAGAGTTCATTGGTGGCATCTTGGCTCCGGTTTTTGACGTAGATTTCGACGAGAATTCAACAAGAGTAGATTTTGTTCGTGTTCAACTTCTTTGGAGTGTGGATAAGCCTTTGAGATTCCAGCGTAATTTTCAATTTTCTCAAGATGTCAATACACTTCTCTCATTTGAATACGAACGACTACGGGGTTTCTGTCAGACTTGTGGCTCTCTCACTCATGATAAGTATGAGTGTCCTTTGGGGTATGATGATAATGTCCAACCGCCTCCTGGTTCTGACGCTGAGGATGATGATGATAATAATGGGGATGATGGTGAAGGACCTTTGGGGACATGTGAGAAAGATTTGATGGATTTGTCTGCTATGCCTGCTAATAATGCTGACACCTCTTTGGTCGTTAGTCAGACAGATGCTGTTGGTGATCAAGATCTACATGGCACTAAGAGGAAACGTGAAGATATAGAGGCTACGGATTCTCAGTCTGTTGAGACGGAACTGGTGGATATGGGTGAGAGGCTTCCTGTTGAGTTTTGGAGAGAGGCTCCAATAGAAGTGGTTCATGCTGAGTTTGAAAGGCGTATGGGTCCTGTACGTACTGCTAGAAAGTATAACTTTGTTGAGCATCTCCTTAGCATTGAGCAGCCTCCTAAAATACGCGGTGAGCACTCTTTCTTCATGGATGTTGAAGGTGATGATGATGCTGATCACATCATACTTGAGATGGAGGAGCGTAGAGGAGCAGGTTCTGTCTATGATTACTTACGTACTCCCATCCCGACGGTTCCTATGATCGGAAAGGTGCTAAATGAGGGAAAACCTGATGAAGACAGTCCAGTAGATAAACACTTGACTGGTAAGCCTATCATCACGACTGAATATGCTGCTCTTGCTAAGATCAATGAAGATTATGGTAATGAAGGCTGTCCTATGGAAGCTACTAACCCAATTGACAGAGGCGCGGTGGGCCCGGTACCACCACATCCCCCATGAGAGTAGAGGTTTGGAACTGTAGGGGTTTAGGACAACGCCTTACAGTTCGACGTCTAAAGGAAATGCAACGGTTGTATTTCCCAGACTTGTTGTTCTTGATTGAAACTAAGCAGCAAAACGATTTCGTACGCGACATTGGTGTCTACTTGGGTTTTGAGAAGATGGTTCTGGTTCCTCCTAATGGTTTAAGTGGTGGTTTAGCTGTCTTTTGGAAGGAGTCTGTTTCTGTTTCATGTATTTCCAGTAATTCAAGACTTGTTGATCTCCATATTGAATATAAATCTTTTCAGTTTTACTTGTCTTGTATCTATGGTCATCCTACACCTAAGTTCAGAAATCATTTATGGGAGCAATTACAGAGAATTGCAGTTAATAGAGTTGGTTCATGGATGATTTGTGGGGATTGCAATGAGATAGTTAATCCCTCAGAAAAGAAAGGGGGTCGAACTAGACAAGTTAGTAGTTGTGTTGACTTCAACACTATGATGAAGGTCTGTGATATGAAAGATGCTCCATTTAAAGGGAATCCGTTCAGTTGGGTAGGTCGCAGAAGAAAAGAAATAGTGGAGTGTTGTTTGGACAGAGTTATGGTTAACTCTGTGTGGAGCTCTCAGTATCCTTTTACAGAAACAGAATTTTTAGAACTAGCAGAATCTGATCACAGGCCAATGTTGATCTCCATTGAATATGCCCCTACAGTTAAGCGAGGTTGGTTCAGGTACGACAAAAGGCTTGTTGAGCAGGAAAACTTTGTAGAAACTATCTCTAATGCGTGGAGTAATACAGAAGTTTTGGATCGTTGGAATAGTAAATTGGCTTATTGTCGTGGGGAAATCATCAGTTGGAAACGTAGTCACCATACAAATTCATCGATTCTCATTCAGGAGATTCGGGAGAAAATTGATCTAGCTCTAAGGGATAATTCAGTCTCGGTTGAAACGATCAATGAGTATCGCAGGGACCTTAATAAAGCATATTATGCTGAAGAGAAGTTTTGGAGATTAAAAAGCAGAAATAGGTGGTTAAATTTGGGAGATCGCAGTTCAAGGTTCTTTCATGGTCTAACTAAGGCGAAAAGAAACAGGAATAACATTAAAAGCCTTCATGATACTAATGGTATTCTTCACACAAAGGATGAGGCTATTGCTCAAATTGCAGAGGAGTACTTTCAAAAGATGTTTAGTTCGTCGAACACTATGTTTGGTAATGACGATTTACCACACATCACCAGTAAAGTAACTCCACAAATGAATCAGATGTTACTTCAGGAGGTCACAGATGAGGAGATTCGCGTAGCTTTGTTCATGATTGGTTCTGAAAGAGCCCCTGGATATGATGGTTTTACGGCTTCGTTTTATCATCAATTTTGGGATGTTATTGCCTCTGATGTTAGTGTTATGGTGAAAGGCTTCTTTACTTCTGGTATTATGGAACCGAGGATCAACCATACTAACATATGCTTGATACCAAAGTTCCAGGAAGCTGCACATATGGTGGACTTTAGACCTATAAGTCTATGCACTGTTGCTTATAAATTGATATCCAAGATTATGTGTCTGCGTCTACAGAAGTGTTTATCTTCTATAATCTCTGTCTCTCAAGCTGCCTTTGTTCCTGGTCGGCAAATTTCAGACAACATTTTGGTTGCTCATGAGCTTATCACAGCCTTGTCTTCTAAACAAGATTGTTCCCAACAATACTTAGCTGTTAAGACGGATATTACTAAAGCATACGATCGTGTGGAATGGTCATTTTTGGAGTGTACAATGTTGCAGTTGGGTTTTGATATTCGTTGGGTTAATCTAACGATGGAATGTGTCAGAACAGTCACATACTCTGTGTTGATCAATGGGATTCCATATGGTAATATTATACCTACGCGTGGTCTTCGCCAAGGAGATGCTATGTCCCCATACTTATTCCTTATTTGTGTTGAGGTCTTAAGTCAGATGATGGATAGAGCTCAGTTTTTGGAACGTCTTCATGGTATGAGATTATCAAGACATTGTCCAACGGTATCGCACCTTTTATTTGCTGATGATTCGCTCTTCTTTGTGCGTGCTACTCTGGAGGATATAGAATGCTTGGCTTCAATTTTTGATCATTATGAGAAGATTTCGGGTCAGAAGATCAATTATGCGAAGTCATCTATTATTTTTGGTAAACGTCTCCCCCGCTCCAAGTGTGATCAGATACATCAAATTCTCAAAATATACTCAGTTGGCGGAGAAGGAAAATATCTCGGGCTACCTGAGCAATTCAGTCGTAGTAAGGTATCAGATTTTCAAGGAATTGTAGCTAGTGTTAAGAAACAGATTTCGCCCTGGTACAACCAATTTCTTTCTCCAGCTGGGAAGGAAGTTCTTATTAAGGCTGTGCTTCAAGCTAAACCGGTCTACTCTATGAATTGCTTCTTGCTCCCTAAGACGATTTGTGACTCTATTAATTCATTACTGTCGGGTTTTTGGTGGGGACAGTCTGAAGATAAGCGGAAAATATCTTGGATTGCTTGGTCAAGATTATGTTTACCAAAGAAAGAAGGAGGAATGGGTTTTCGTGACTTACATTCGTTTAATGTGGCCTTGTTAGGGAAACAAGCATGGAGGATTCATCATAATCCTCAGTCTTTACTTGCTCGTATTTACAAAGGACGATACCATAACTCGACGACATTTTTACAGTCGCCAAGTTTAACAAATTGTTCTTATGGATGGAAATCCATCCAGGCAGGTAGAGATTTTCTCAAAAGAGGATTAATATCTCAGATTGGGAATGGCTATAATACTAGAATATGGGAAGACCAATGGCTACAAGAATACCCACCAAGGCAGCTACTCACTCCTTGTGCTCAACCTTCTATGACGGTTGCAGAGATCATTAACCACGATACAATGGAATGGGATAATGTAAAGTTGTTAGAGCTCTTCCTTCCTGAAGATGTTGCTGCTATTCGAAAGATAAGGTTATCAAAATACAATAATCTGGATGTGATGGTATGGCCTTTTACTCCAGATATGACTTATACGGTTAAGTCGGGGTACTGGACTGCAACTCATATACTCAATGATCTTGATACAATTCAACCACCTCAAGGTTCTTTGATTTTAAAGGCTAAGCTCTGGCGTCTGGATATACTTCCTAAAATTCAACACTTTCTATGGCGGGTAATCTCTGGTGCATTACCTACTTACACCCGACTGTGCTCACGAGGAATCAATGTCGATCCAACGTGTCAACGTTGTTGTTTGGAGGAAGAAACGATCAATCATGTGCTTTTCCTATGTCCGCATTCGTACGCTATATGGCGATGCTCTGGATTCCCGGCTCATAAGGTACAATCGATAGATCTTGAAGAAAATATAGCTGCTATGTTTGTGGTGCTGGAACATGAAGATACTTCTGCTAAAGTTAGTAAGTTAGCGTTTTGGGTGATTTGGTTTATTTGGAAATCAAGGAATGAATTCTTGTTTAATAAACGGAACGTGCACCCCATCGAAGATGCTCAACGTGCAATATTTGCCAATGAAGAATGGTTACTAAATAGGAAGAGTACAACCAATTCAGTAATTAGAAGAGACGCTACTTTCAATTGGGAACCACCTCCTTCGGGTTGGTTAAAATGTAACTTTGATTGTAGTTATCGTAAGGAGATAAGAGTAGCTGGGGTTGGATGGATTGTTAGGAATCACCTAGGTGCTCATCAAGGATCAGGCACGGCTGTAATTCAGAATGTGTCATCTCCTTTACAAGGTGAGGCTGTTGCTTTCTTATGTGCAATGCAGCAGATATGGATACGCGGCTGGCGTAATGTCTGGTTTGAAGGGGATAGTAAAGAATTGGAGCGCATTATAAATTCTGTAATACATAATAATGTACAAATAGGTGCAGTGTTATATGATCTTCGTCACTGGATGCTTCTGCTTCATGAATGCTCATTAGAATGTGTTAATCGGGAGAAGAATATGGCGGCTGATATGTTGTCAAAGCATAGTTTACAAGTTTCTTCTTCTTCTTTATTTTTCTCTGTTCCTCCTTCATGGTTGATACCATTTTTGTATTGGCCATACACTGTTTAATTTTTAATAAATTGTTGTTTCAAAAAAAAAAAAAAAAATTAATAATATGCTTTGGGAACAAGCCATAGCCACCTAGCAAACAAAATGGCAGATTAGGGTAAAAAAGTCAGATAAAAGAAAATTCTTCTGGCACAAGAAATCTTCTGTTTCGCAGCACATAGAGTGATTGGGACCCATGTGTAGAAAATAGGAGTAGACTAGTAGTAATAAGAAAGTGTCAGCCGTGATTTGGTGGTGACTGGAGCAGCGTAGGAGCTATGATCTGTGAGACGTCACGTTTAGCTTACTAGGTTGTAATCCTCTGCTGTGATGACTGTGATGAGTCATGACCCATACCTTTTTACTATGTTGTTTTCCTCGAGGAAAAATCATTAATTTGACTCTTCTTTATTAGCTTCCTATGACTTCAAGTCTCCGCCTCATTACACTCTTTACTTTTCATGTAGATAAAGCGTATGTATAGTCACGTCAAAAAATGGAATTATGTAAATGCATGTGTTAATGAAGTAATAAGAGGTTTTGCGTGTGTGCCAATTGATGGTGATTAGAGCCCGAAACCCCTTGATCAGTCTCCATTTGCTCCAACAAGCCACCAAACAATTGGGCCTCGCAACATTTCTAGTCTATTTAGACTGGGGTTTTCTACAATGGATGTTGATTCACACACTAGGCTGGGCTAAGATCCAATAATCGAGTCCGAATTTGTGGAGTTCAACAATTGTTACATTACTTTTCTCCTAGTTGTGAAAAATTAACAGTTCAGTTTACAAATGTTAACACAAGAAACAAAAAAATCAAAGAAACATCTCAATATGTGCCTAGCCAAGTTGACATCA